TCCAGGGTCACCCATTTTGTGTAATATTTCATGAGTTCCTTCTTTTCCAATGCTGCATAGTATTCTGTTCTGTGAATTTACCACAATTTCTCTATCCATTCATTTGTTAATGGCCACTTGGGGTGTTTCCGTCTCTTTGCTATTGTGAATAATGCAGCAGTAAACATGGGTGTGCATGTATCTGCCTGGGTGGCAGTTCTGGTTTCTTTAGGGTGTATTGCCAGTAGTGGAATTGCTGGGTCAAATGGTATTTCTATTTGCAACTTTTTGAGAGTGGTTACACCATTTTACACTCCCACCAACAGTGAATGAGGATCCCAGTTTCTGCACAACCTCACCAGCATTTGTTGTTTGCTGCTCTATTGAATGTTGTTATTTTTGCTGGGGTGAGAGGGTATCTCATAGTTGTTGTGTATCTTCCACTTTTTCATGAACTCTACTTTTTTCAAGGGGCCAGGTACAGGAATATTCTATGGCACAGTTTTATTTTGTAACTTGTAGAGTATCTGTAGGTCAGATTTACTAAAGGGCCCTGGTGAGATTTACAACCTCCTGAAAACCCTCTGGAAGGATGACAGAAGAAGAATTGATACCCTTGAGCTGTGGTGCTGGAGAAGAGTTGTTTTGGTTTTCGTAGTTTGTTTTATTTTTTTTTATAAAAATCTTGAACATATTGTGGATCATTACAAAACAAATAGGTCTGTTTGGAGAGGAAGAAACAAAGTTTTTCCTTGGAGGCTAGGATTTTGAAGTTCCATCTTACATACTTTGAGCACATGGCCAAGAGGGACAAGTCCTTGGAAAAGGACATCATCCATAGAAGGGTGGAGGGGCAGCACAAGAGAGGAAGACCCCAGATGAGATGGGGCAGTGGAGGTAAATGTGTTGGAACCAGTGAGACAGACTCAGGACTGGGTAGACTTCAGAGCTGTTGTACATAGTAGGGTTGCTGTGTACCGCAGGCAACTCGATGGCACATAACAACAGCAAGAACAATATAAATGAGTTTTAGTTTTGAATTTTGCATAGTCCCAAGAGTGTTGCTCAGATAACCAAAAGCCCATTATCGATAGTTAACATCTAAGTGGTTTGAAGGATAAAAATGGACAGTTTCCTGCTGGTAAGATTCACAGTTTCTGAAACAGTTGGAGGGTGGCAATGAGTAGGAACTGCCTCCAGGGCATTTCGTTTAGTTATAGATTGTCTCATTTCATGTGTTTGAAATTATTTATAACACATTCTTAATTTACCCCCCTCAAATAAAGTAGACAGTCCAAGCTAATGCTAAATAATCTCAAAGACTTTAGTTGTTGTTAAGTGCTGTCAAGTCGTAGGTGACTCATAGTGGCCCTATGAACGAAAGTCCTCAACACTTGCAGGCGTGACTTTCATCCTTTCTCCAGGTTCATAGGGTTTCCGGAGACAAGCTATTTATGGAAGTAATGCCACTCCTGCTTCCAAGCTTGATTCAACCGGGGAGCTCCACCAACCACTGTCCATCGTGGGTAACTGTTATCGCATTTGACATGTCAGTGTCATGGTGTTCACTTTCACAGTGACCACAAGTTACTTCTCTACAGCAAGTGAACACACGAGGCCTATACGACCTAGAAGACTGTTTGAACAAAAACAATGAAAAACAGGCCCAAGGGCCACCAATTAGAGTCACCCACCTTTGTCTTGGTAGCATCACTTTTGGTCCACAAGGCCAAAGATTTTAGAGTGGGTTTTTTTTCCCTCTCTCTCTTATGGCCTTCAAGTCAGAACCAACTGTTGACTCTCCAATGGGTTTCCAAAGCTGTTGGTGTTTTTTGTTTGTTTGTTTTTGTTTTTTGGGTTTTTTGTGGGAAGAGTTCGCTCACTTTTTTCCCCATGGAGCAACTGTTGGATTTGAACTACCTGAATAGACAAAAGACCTTAGATTAGGAGGGCAACTCGTTGTGGACTACACTGCCAGAACACCCTATTAGAGTGTTAGCTTATGGAACTCTTTTTTTTCCTTGTATTATGATAGCCTGTTGCTATTGCTAATATACTCATTGTTTAATCAACTTTTTTGAATATTCATCCAACTGAATACCTAAGAAGTGTTTTGTGTTTCTTCTAGGATTGTGGAAAAGGGATATTACAGTGAGCGAGATGCTGCAGATGCTGTTAAACAAATACTGGAGGCAGTGGCTGTAAGTATGAAGCAACAGCAATGGTGTGATGCGTAGTAATCCCTTCCTTTTACAGAATATACTTGATACATGAGCAACATGTACATGAGCACAGGTTTACTCCATTTATACTTGGGCTTCTTTGTTTCTCCAGCATTGCTTGTAATCCCTTAAAACATGTGTGATGCTAAGCATTTCCAAGTCAATAATATATCTGTCCAGTTAATTGCTTCTCTCAGTGAAACGGTATTACATGCATTTTTGACTGTGCGGTAAAGGATGAGGTGCTGCTGCTCCTGCTCTCACATTGTTCAAGGGTCTGTTTGTAAACATTTAATAAGGTAGGTCTCATGGCTCAGTGGTAAGAAGCTGTACTCCCAACTCAAAGGAACACAGTTCAAATCTACCAGTTACTCCATGGAAGAAAAATGGGCAGCCTCTTCCTTTGTGATTTACAGCCTCAGAAACCCACAGGATGATCAGTAATGGGTCAGTTCCAACTCCACAACAGTGACTTTTTTTATGTCTATGCTAAGCCATAAAAATCACAATATGCCAGTATGGCACCTCTGTTCTTGTGCCATCAAGTCAACTACAACTCATAGTGACTTTATGAATGATGACATTGAACTTCTCCCTGTCCTGTGCCATCTCCAACACACTTGAGCCCATTATTACAAATTGTATCAATTCATCTTGTTTAAGGTCTTCCTCTTATGTGACCCTACATCTTTCCAAGCATGATGTCCCTGTCTAAGGACTGGCCCCTCCTGACCACATACCCAGAGTGTGTGAGATAAAGTTTCATCATCCTTGCCTCTGAGGAGTACCCTGGTATCACATTCTCTAGGACAGATCTGTTTGTTCTCTTGACAGGCCTTTGGATACTCATTACTCTTGTCCAGCATCACAGCTCAAAGGCTCAATTCTTCTATTGTCATCCTTAATCATTATATAATTTTTGGATGCATGGCAAGCAATTGAGAAAAATGTCCATGGCTTGGATTAGGCACACCTTAATCCTTAAACTGACACTGTTGCTCTTTAATACTGTAGAGAGATCCTTGACAGCAAATTTTTCCAATAATATACTTTTTAAAATTTTGTGACCACTGGTACCAAAAAGATGTATTTCCCCAATGCTTTAATTTTTTTAGTTTCTTGATTACAAGGGCATTGATTGTAGATCCAAGTGAGATGAAAGAATTGACAATTTCAATCTTTGTCTATCTTGATGTTCCCTGTTGACCTGGTGGTGAGGATTTTTGGATTTTTGATATTGAGATGTAATCCGTATTGAAGGTTATAGTCCTTGATCTTCTGCAAACAGGTGCTTCAAGTTCTTACTTTCAGTGAGCAAGATTGTGCCATCTCTAGTGTAACCTATACTGAATACACTTATATTTTCTGTTGGTTACACAGACTTTGAAAGCTACATTCCCCTGTAATACCTCTGTAATACTCTGTAATATTCTACTAAAATAATTTACATTCTGCTGTTGCGGAACCAGATTAGACTGAGATGCCTTTAAGCTGTTAGTTTCATCTTTCCCACTTCTTGACTTTGTAGGGGTGGAGGGGAGAGGAAGTTTGGTAGGAAAGTAGAATATGATAAATATAGACATTGTTGTTGTTGTGTGCTGTCGAGTCGTTTGTGACTCATAGCAACCCTATGTACAACAGCCCTAAACCCTGCTCTATCCTGTGCCAATCGCATTGCCTCTGACACACCCATCCCAATTATCCCAGTCACTGAATCAATCCACCTCATAGAGGGTCTTCCCCTCCTGCGCTGTCCCTCTACTCTACCCTCATGATGTCCCTCTCTAAAGACCTGTCTCTCCTTACAACATGTCCAAAGTACATCAGACAAAGCCCCAGAATCCTTGCCTCCAAGGAGCAGCCTGGTTTAACCCTCTCTAGGATGAATCTGTTTGTTTACTTGGCAGTCCATGGTACATTCAATACTCTTCTCCAGCACCACAGCTCAAAGGCATCAATTCTCCTTCTATCCTCCCTAGTCATTGTCCAACTCTCTGATGCATAACAAGTGATTGCAAAAACCATGGCCTGTATCAGGCACACCTTAGTCTCCAGAGAGACACCGTTGCTCTTGAGTACTTTAGAGAGGTCACTAACTGCAGACTTTCCCATCGCAATACGTTTTTTTATTTCCTGGCTACTGGTGCCAAGAGTGTTGACCGTGGAGCCGAGCAAACTGAAGCTGTGAACAATCTCAATCTCTTTGCCATCCATCCTGATGCTACCAATTGGTCCAGTGGTGAGAATTTTTGTCTTCTTGACATTGAGCCTCAGTCCATATTGAAGGCTGCAGTCCTTGACCCTTTGCCGTAAGTGCATGAGGTCCACCTCAGTTTCAGCAAGCAGGGTTGTGTCATCTGCATAATGCAGATTGTTGATAGATCACCCACCAAGCCTAATGCGACACTTCTCCTCATAGAGCCCAGCCTCTCGGATAATCTGCTCTGCATACATGTTGAAAAGGTATGGAGACAGGATGCATCCCTGGCGTACACCCTTCCCAATTTTGAACCATGCAGTGTTGCCCTGCTCTTTTCTGACTACTGCCTCTTGGTCCAAGTATAGGTTTCACATTAGCACAATTAAATGTTCTGGGATTCTCATTCTTCTCAGAGTCAGCCACAGTTTGTTATGATCCATGCAGTCAAATGCCTTTAGTAGAGAAATTATTGATTTGAGAATTAAGACTTCAAATGAGTCAATTAGGAAGGAAAATGAATGTGGAAATATCTTTTTAAGGGAAAAATATTAGTAATTTTAGACTGGGGTATGAATGTTTATAATATAATCATAAGAAGCTTATTCAGATTGAATTATGCCTGGGTGACATAGTCTACTGTTTAAAATATTTAATGGTGTCTAATATGTGCTAGCACACATTGGTGGTTCATTTATTGAATCTAAAAGAAAAACAAGAACAAATTGTTCCTTAAACAAATGGGACAAGGCCCAAGGGTGAGGTGGTTATCAGGGTCAGATAAAGAGATATATTCCTACAATCAAGCTAATGTTAAGATATATTCTATTATTTAGGGATAATTGCTTAACTGAAATTGTTATTATCTTTGGCAAACAGTCCCAGTGATAAGCATCTGTCTGCCTGTCAGTTTTACTCCTAGAAAGACAGGGAAGAAATAATGAGGTCATAGGGTGGGGGAAGCGAATGGGGAAGAAGCAACAGATAAGGAAGGAAAGGAGAGCCATGATAAACACTCATCTAAATCTTTGCATACAGTGATGGGAAAGAATAGATTTATGATTTCATGTATCCTTAATGAGTTGTCAAAACCGTCCAGTTGGCTTTATGGTGTATGAATTGTTCCTTTCTGTAGGTTTCCTGTTTGACTGGTTGGTTGGTTAGGTTTTAGTCTTTTTGCTATCAAGAGAGTAAGATAAAAGAAATTAACTGGAAATTAATAAAAGCTGGAAAGGATATGATAAAATTTTACCTTAAATACACAATCTAGCTGTTGACTACATAAATATGAAATATAAAATTTATATTCTTGTTGTATACAAAATAACCATTCCATTCCATATTTTTCATCATATTCCACATATTTATCATCCAAAGTGTGTGAAATTTTAAATGGAAAACTAAGTCTTTCTGTACACTTTGTCTGAAATCATAATTAAGTATTTACAGGAAAAAAAGAATAAGCTTCCAACACTTTTTTTTCTCCCAACACTATATGTTAAAGAGATTTTCTTTCTCTGACTTAGTAGATTTTGAATTGTCAAAAAGCAGCTCTCTATACGTGAATATACTTACTGCTGGGCTCTTTGTGCTGTTCCTGGGTCTAGGTGTCTTTTGTTGTACCAGTATTGTTTTGACTTTGGAGGCCGTGCAGTCAATTTTGATCAGTAGTTTGAAGCCTAGTATTTTCTTCATTAGTGCTTTGCTTTGTTTTCCTTATAAAATTATTGAGTCCAAATTTCCTTATATAAAGTAGGCATAACATCTAACCTAAGAAGATTTGAAAACATTAAAAGAAATAAGATATAGAAAGAGTGCTGTTGCTATCTGTAGATGCAGTTAAATCAGCTCTAACTCTTGATACTCTGCATACAGAACAAAGCACTATTGCATCTCGTGCTTTCATCACAATCTCTTTAATTCGGGCCCTAAAAAGGTACTAATATTACTTGATTTCAAGACAGAAGCTATATTTGGCTTAATTTTGATTCAGTGCCGTCTCCTAGTTCTGTTTATTACAGTCAGTGTAAGTGTTGAGAATTTAAGTAATTGTGGCTGACAGTTATGATATTGGCTACAGGGAGCTCTGGTGACCTGGTGGTAAGAATTTGCACTGCAATCCCAAAGGCAAATGGTTCAAACCCACTTACTGCCCTACGAGAGAAAGATGGCAGTCTCCTTCTATGCGATATCTGCCTCTGAAACCTGCTGGAGTATCAACAATAGGTCAGTTTTAATTTGATGGTACACAAAAACATGCTAAAATTAAAAGTAGAGGAAAAGGAGAACGTTTCATTTGAGCTTGGTAGACATAACAAAAGATAGCACTTTGCTGCCTGTTCTAATACTTTTCTCTACTACTATTTCTCTATGTTTTTCTCCATTCTTTACTTTCTACTCTATTCTGAAATCTGGCATTTGTTGTTTGCCATGAAAGTATGATTGCATTTTTAATATCATTTCATTTTGATGGATGCTATAAGTATTTATCATACACAGACTACCTTTACAGAAGATCCTTTTTCTATGAACAACTTTAGTAACTCCTCACACTCTCTTTCCCATCTGTGAAATCATGCTATCTGATTAACAATAGATTTTTGTCCTCTGATTTTTTTTTTTTCAGTCACAGCTACACAGTAAAAATCTTACACTGCTCCATTACTCTTCTTCATCTTGGTAAATGGTATCATTATTAACCAATTATTTGCTGAAAACCTAGAGTTCATTCTCTTGATGTTTCTCTACATCTTAAAAATATCATCAACATGTCCTACCAGTT